GCTACACGGTGTCGGACGTGGTTATGTACTGGAAGGAGACGCCGGTGCGCGGCGTGGAGGACGCGGAGTTACCGCAGTTCTCTATCCTCGGATATGAAACTAACGATAGAAAGGTAGTTATTATACTAGATCGAAACGTTAAGTATATTTATTTAGGAAATATTAACACAGAGCTCTTATTTAAGAGACAGAACGCAAGTATGTGTTTTGCAAAGGTCATTTCACTAGATAAATCTTTCATATAAATCTATTTCCCTTTTAAATTTTTGCACGTAGTTAAGAACTATACATATTTACATTAACGTAAACTAAAGTTTTCAGCAGTAAATTCCTGAAAACAGTTTACATAGTACAACTGCTCATTAAACCCCCGAACATTCCAGGAAAAGTTGGCAACGGGCGTGTATCAACGCTTGTCGCTAAGTTTCAAGCTCCGCAGGAATATTGGCTACTTCGTGTTTCAAACTTACTTACCAAGCATACTGATAGTGATGCTGTCGTGGGTCTCCTTCTGGATCAATCATGAGGCTACGTCGGCAAGAGTAGCATTAGGTTAGTACTATTATATGCTTTAACTAATAACATTTCGATAAGTCAAAAAGATGAATTCCTTTCTCGCGCGAGAAAAGAAGTACTTCTTTCTAACAAGGCGAATTCATTTTGTCATAGTTATGAAAAATGTTATTTGTGAATAAATTTTAAACTAGTACGATTCTTGAAGTGTGTTGTTCTGTAGGATTTTTTTAAAATGAAAATTGGCATCCCATGAAATCTTGCAGGTATAACAACGGTACTAACAATGACAACGATAAGCACGGGTGTGCGCAGCAGCTTGCCGCGCATCTCGTACGTGAAGGCCATCGACATATACCTGGTGATGTGCTTCGTGTTCGTGTTCGCCGCGCTGCTGGAGTACGCCGCCGTCAACTACACGTACTGGGGCGCGCGCGCCCGGAAACGTGCCAAGCTAAAGAACCGTGAACAAATGTCCACCAGCACGAGTGTGGAGAAAGATATCAAATGCTCCAGTGGTAAGTATATGAGGCTTTATTGTTTATACTATACTAGCGCCTTTCCAATCACCGAAACTAGAGTCACATAGAACGGAAACAGCCAATAACATTTTTTTGAACAATTTATTTTCCCACCGTGTTATACCACCTGTCGTTTCAGGCAACTGGCCTACCGGAATACGGTTGCATAGGTCGAAAGAGTGGATTTGCACCAGCGCAACTGCTTACCCACTTAAATCCATTCACTTGTAGAT